AACTTCTACAGAAGATATGAGTTCAGAGTTCCTGGCTCTGCCACCTGCTCTTTCTCACCACAGTCTGGCTTTTGCATGTTGTCCTCAAAGGAGGTTGAACCTGGCTCCCAGTGGAATGGGTGGTTGCTTATTACATCAGCTCCATCCTCTTTGGTATAGATCTAAGATGAATACTAACCCAGGCCTGGCTCCAGCAAGCTGGTTCTAGATTAGCTTTTCTAACACCTTCTGCCAAAACCAAATATATTGCCTCAAGCCTCCTCATTCCAAAGGGAGAAGGTAGGCTTCCTGTCTCTATCCCCTGGGTGTGCTCTCTGCCAAATTCAGGAAAATCCATAGCTTCAGATGCATGCAGGCATGTAGCAGCATCAATGTTGACAGTGCACTGTGGCCAGGTGAACCCTCTTCCATATCAGCAGGGCCGTGGTCATGTGCTTCAGAATCAGGGTCATGGTGATCACCAGGCTGCTGTGAATGCACAGCTGAAGCAGAGTAACAGCAAAAGGAGCAGAAAAAATGACATGAAGAAGCATCAAAGAGATGTCTGCTTTGACCTACAAAGAAGCACTGTTCTTTCATCTTGATTAAAGATCCTGCTCAGGGTAATCTGGGACTTTACCATCTCCCGAGAGAATTTCTGTAATCTGGGTTGACAGCAAAAGGAAGTGAGCATCCTCACGCAGGGCCTCGCTCCTCAGCTGCTTCCCAAGTCAGCTCTGTTTTCTACCATCTCCCAGTTCATATCCTTGGCAAGATCTTGGGTTTAGTCTGTAAAGTGTTAGTGAATCATTTGTCAGCTCCATCAGGATTTTCCTACCTACTTTGATCCCCTGAGACTACTCTGCACGTACAGGGCACTGTTAACTAAACAAGGCCAAAGACTCAGCTTGTAGCTGCAAGACATAAAGCATACCTAGCTGGAAGTTTAGTTTTGGAATCGGTTGCCAGCAAGGACAAGAGTGAAATGTTCAGACAAGAGGTTAAAACCTGCAGAATGGCAAGATGCTCCCTGTGCACCCTAAAACCTTGCTAATTGATAAATTCTCCCAACCCTTCACTTCCTTTGATTCCTGGTTCAAAATTCACTGTTTTATTTCTTGCACAAAGGAGGGAAGTGCTTCGCTCATAACAAGGAGAGGTTTATTGACAGGGCTGGGCTCAAGGTGTGCTTCTGTCAGAATGCAGATCATCAGGATCAGCCTGAGCTCCTTTTCCGTATTACCTTTCCTCACACTTGTCCTGCTCAGCATCTTCTCTGTAGGCATGCTAGCCAATACGAGCTTAGTTTTTTCCTCTCCATTTGGCACATGGTTCCTTCTTCTCAAACAGCTTCAGCCCCCTAACTTGCTCTTCTCCAGCCCATCATCTGCTACTATTATCCAGTTGTACACATAGCACAGCTTAATCATAGTAATACATTATGCCTATGTGTGTGTTTTTCCCCTCCTCTGGGTATTTACAAGATAACTGTGAGTTGAAGAGCAGTCTGGAAGACTGAAAATTGTTGGTAGACCACACAAAAGAATTTTACAGAAAGAAGACATCTTTCCTTTATCCAGCTGGCAGCTTGTGATCTCTCAAAACAAAGTTTATTGCTAATAGAAGAAACTGTGGAGTTCTAAGATACGTGAAAAGGTAAAAATTGTTAGGTCCAAGTATTAGATAATAAGTGTCTGATCAGAAACTGAGTAACAGAAGTACAGAAGTTGAGCATTGAGTAACTGGAAGTTACTTTGTTCTTCAGCCGCTTTAGTGTGGATCAGCTCTGAAAAAAGCTAAAGGAAAGCTTTAAAAAAACTCCACCATACTCTTCACTTTCTAATTTTTTTTATTGAGCGGAATCATGAAATGGCAAATATTGATTTGTCATTCAGTGATTTATAAAACTATTTTTATAAATCCTTTGAACCACATTGAGATATCTGAAGATGTTGCATACAGAACTATAAAGCCAGAGGTTTAAATTAATGTCTTTCCCTCTCAGTAGTAGTAGTAGTAGTATTATAATATTTTTGGACTTTAAAAAATTTATTTTACTGGTCCACTCTACAGAGCAGCATATTCTGGATATCTTAAACAGTTCACACTTCCATAAACAGAATTTTCAGGAAGATTTTGAGACTTGAGTTCTTTCGGCCCCGGTTGACAAAAGGGTATAAGCAGGAACCTGTTTCCAGATCGCCAGCTTTGTTCCTGCATTTTGAACGAGATTTCACAGGCACTTAAATCTTAAAGTTTTGCTTCCTCCTACACATCTACTTTGGAGAAAGTCCTAAAGCACCTCTGTCTTTAAAGGGTGGAGGAGGTTGGCCTCCTCTTTCCAACCTACGTGGGAAACACCACATGTTTCCATAGATTAGAAGAGTAGCATCCACTTTCTTCTCCAAGAAGACGATCTCCAGGTGGTGTTCTCTGAGCATTAAATATTTGAGCATGGTGCAGAGGCCACCACCCCTTTCCTTTGAAACACAAAGAGAAGGAAAGATTATCCCTTAACTTAGGTCACTTGTTCAGGATGGGGGAGACCTGAGTGCAGACTTCAGCTCTTGTTTTTCTAGGTGGAAGAAACAGTGCTTGGTGGGATAACTCAGAGATATGCTTCATGAGTGGAGAAAATACACCATTTCTTGTTTTTCTTTGTTTCCTTTTGCACGCTTAGGTGGTTTCCTGCTCAGCCTTTTGCATTTTGTAGGTCTGTTTGGAGGTTTACATGCAGCATGTGTTGTATGTGGAAAGGAGAGTGTCCACCTGAAGGCTGTGGGGGACAGGTGCCTAAATTCTGGTGTGAATCTCAACACTCTGCGTTTATGATGTGAATCAGAGCCTCAACCTCTAAAATGAAAAATTAGTAGGTGTGTTGTGATTATAGTGTAAACCACCAACATGGTTAGGCAAGATAAGCATATACTGTTTTGAGTATTAAATCCCAGCTGCACAAAAGGAACCGCTTTTGTGAAATTAGCTGCTTTCCCTGATCCAAGTTTCTTTGTTAGACTGTTCCCTCTGCCATAAAAACCTTTGCTTCTTGTGCCAATGAATGAGATTAATCTTCTAAAACCTTTAGCATACTACCTGCAACTTTACAACATTAAAAATAAATAAATAAAACTACCACATAGTTCCCTGGTTTCAAACTTTGCAGATTCAGGGTTCACTAAGAAGTCATCTCTCTTTTTTCCTTTAAAAGAAGACAACTGTATAGAATAATAGAGTTCTCTGTCTAGCATACAAACCCATCTGGAAAGAATTTAGTCTGCAATAATTGTGGGCATTTGATTTAGCTTTAAATCCCTGTAGGTAATTCAAATGTAAATTTATTGGGGTGAGTTTATCCCCAAACCGCCATTGGATCCAATATTTTAGAGATGATTTTGGCCCACTGCACTAAAACTAGAGCCTGCATTGTTTCTGTTGCATCAGGATATTATTACATGCTGTAATGTCTGTCGTTATAAGCAGACCTTTACTAGAAATAAAGTCGATAGAGACAATACAGACAATCACCTGAATCACATTTATTTTTCAGACCTTTAAAGATTAGTAATTCTTTGGTTATGAATATGTTTATAGACTGGTATCTAAATCACTCAGACATCACTGGTCTAATTCATTATTTTGTTATTTTGTACTCATCTGGGATAGTCTTTTTGGTTAAGTAAAATTCTTTGCATTTCACATTCTGCTTCAGAAAAAAAAAGTTTCAAGAGGCATTCAGCACATAATGTAAACAATGCCATCTGTCTTTTTCTTTGTAAAATCTTTTTCGAGATAGCCCCGATATGCCTACTGTTTTCAATCACTTAAAAGGCAGTAATTCAATTATATCATCCTCTATGTAGGAACTGCCATTGCTTTCAGTCCACTTCCAATCCTGACACAAGTAAATCACTTTGATAAGATCCCCTTTTTATTTATTTTTTTCTGAGGAGACTAGCATAAGTAATGATGCCAGTGATAGACCAAGGACAAAATGACCATAATGGGCTTTCTGTAGGAAAGGAAAACATGTGCCATTGTGATTTATCTTGTTACTTGGAAAATGTTTTTCCTTGGAATTTCTGCAACAGCCACACTCTCCAAGCGAAGGACATTAGCAAGTATGAATGGCCAAATAGTAAATTCAGACAAAACCTTCACCGAGCAGCAGGTTTAAACAGCTATCGCTACCTAGATTTCTTAAACGGGAACAGAAGGTCAAAGCCATTTTGGAAATGTGCCTAGGTTGTATTCATCTTTGGTATAATGCCACCTACTTACATGGAAACGCGCTGGGAACGTGTAAGGTTGGATCTTCCTTACAAACTGCTATGGCTTATCATGCAGATATGCCTTCCTTCTATTTAAAAATTGCTGGGGTGACTTCAGTGCTTTGTGCCACCAGCGAGGCGGGGGCCTGGCAGACACGTCTAACCTCCCAGAATAGACGCGGCATGAGGTCGGTAGTATCAGTAGACTTCCTGCTATGAACTGGCCTTGACTCTGATGCTGAGAGAGCATGGTTAGAGCTGAGCTGTCTCTGGACACACCTATCTTTTGCCCCTGATTTCAGAAAAATGGGAGGGCGCCAGATGAGGTGGTCAGGTGTGATGTGAAAGCTTGTTTGAAAGGATCTGGACCACGGGTGTCTCTTTGAACCCGGATTGGTCACTCAGCACGAATAACCCCAGAGCTTGCGTTTTCAAATTTGTGAGGAGCGCTGGTCTTATATTCCCTGTCTGAGACCACACCCAGGGAACGCAGTGGGAAGGTCACTCTGCTTTGTCTGCTGAAGAAGCAGTACCGTGCAGGTAAGCGGTGACCAGCAATGTTACACCGCAGGCCAAGTTCGGCATTTCCAGTGACATGCTATGAGGAAACCCTTTTGTTAAGTAATTTTGGAGAGTCTGTGTGAGAAAGCTGTGATCGGACAGGGAAAAGGCAGCATGTTCATTGTATTTAGCCTAATGAATTAGGAGGCTGTTTAGGATATTATTGATATGGTATGTTGTTTCCTTTCACAGAGAAAGCGTGGAGAGCCTTATCCAAAAGCATTCCTATGCCCGATCCCCCATTCGAACATATGGAGGAGAAGATGATCTCGGAGATGACAGCCAGGCAACACAAAGCAGAGGTAGGAAAATGTGCTCATGAAGTAAACTGTGGCGACCTAGTTATGCTTGAGAAAAGGGGGACCGCAGTCAGTACTGTGTTACTCTGAAGCATTTCTCTGGTGTGTGTCTCTGCCATGAAGTCCCGTAACAAAGAAGAATACGTGTTACCTTATGGCTCTTTTTGGACATCTTTATGGCCCATGGAACTGGTGTGGGTGGCTAGTTTAGGAGGCAGCTCTAGAGATGCTTATACAGCCTTTGCCAGCAGAAGAGAACTATCTCTGCTTCCTCTTCAAGATGGCTGAAAAACAGGCAACTTCATTACCGTGGTGCTGAGAACAAGCTAACACTCCCTATTCCTTGGCAGGACTTACTAGCTAGGGCTCAGCACCGTTTGTAAAGTACCGTGTAGATGTGCCATTTGCTGCCCCTCCAGCCTTCTGGTTCAACCAGCCTGTGGTTAACCTGCTTTGCCTCTGCAGGAAGAAAAGTCCATAGCTCCCTGGAAAATTGATGTTTAGTTGTTATCTCTTGGCCTCTAAAAGGTGTTTTTCCTGCTGAGGCAATTCACCTCAAATGTTTTATCAAATGGTTTGTCTACTTTAGCAGTCGCAACAGTAGTAGCGAGGCAGAGTTGTTCTTTGTGGGGGTACTCGCTGGACAGATTGCATCTGTCATAATTTGCCACTGGAAATAGATCTCACACCCATCCTGTGGGATCACTGACTAGCATAAACTTGTGTTGCATTCTGTTTTGCATGTTGCCTTTGTGACCTGCCTGATATGCAACAGCCACTCGAGGTAAAGCAGTTCTATCTGCCTTCCGACTGGCAGTGCCCTTGTCGTGTCCTCTAACTTCATACAGTGTTGCTAAGATAAGAGCATTATTTCTGATCATAAGCTCTTAGGACTTGTGCAGGGAAAACACACTTATTTTTAACCACGAGTCGCTCTTCAACAAAATGTGATTAGGTGGGCTTGTTCATACACGTCTCTTCCAAGAGCAGTTCCTTAGATTGCGGAGCTTCTGGAGCGACTCCTCAGCTGGTACGATGCCATCCTTTCACATACTTCTGGGGGATTACCTCGCTTCACGTCAGCTTAGATCCTAGGCCAGTTATTGTTGAAGACAGTGTTAAATTTTCCCGTGCCAGAAGTGCTCAGAGCAAGGCACCTTCTCGCCAAGAATTACATTTCTCCCTGGTATGATGTCCTCCTTCGGGAGTGACAAAGTGAACGAGGTGAACCTCAGTATGAGAACTGGCCTTTAGAGCCTTTCTCTTCTGAAGAGAATCCCGAGGAAGGTGTCAGAGGGTGAAGGAATGGTTTATTAAAATTAATTTTATGTATAATATATACAGGGTACAGTTCTGCATTTGCTTGCACTATGGCAAATGAGTAAGTGAGGAAGATGATGAGTTGTGGCAACCAACATTTTTCTAATCTGGGAGCCATATTCTAACGTAGGACATGATTGTTCTGGGCAACCAAAGGCATGCACAGAGGGTAAAACATCCTGCTCTTGCAGATGAGTTCCTTGTACTACCTTCACTCTCTGTTTAGGTCTGGTGTCCTTAAATAAGGAAAAGTTCTCCAAGATATGAGGAGAGAAATAACAATCTTATTGAAACTCCACGGACATTTTTACTTCTTCTGATGCATTTGAAAACTACAAATTTTGCATGCAAAATTGAGGAGTGTTCTTCCATACATACGAGAGTTGACAGCCAAATACAAACACGTTGCTGGGTGGGGTGTGTTATAAGCTCTCTGAGGCCTCGACGGCCTCAGAATTACTACAGCACATTTCCTTGGTGCTGGCAAATGCGGTATGTGAGACTTTTTTGGAGTACTAAGTTGCAGTTAGAGACCATTGCAGTTGCAGTTAGAGACCATTGCAGTGGAGGAAGAAAGAGCCCTTATGGAGGTTCCTCATGAGAAGGAATTACATACTTTGTTCTGTGTAGAACAAAGAAAGTCTACCACCGCTACTTATTTCTAATTACATCCAGAGCATTCTCATCTCAGCCAATTCCATCCATCTAAAGATGGAAGTGGCTAGCCTTCAGTAGGATATTTATCACAAGAAGTCTGTTTCCAAAGGAATTAACAGATATGAAATATATAAATCCAATTAAAACTCTTTAATGCATACTGTCTGGGTGCCTGTGCTCCAGCATCCGCGCACAGGATTCATGGTAGCCACCTGGAACAGAGCCAAATGTAAACTGTCTCGGCACATCCAGATTCGCATCCCGCTTCCCCTGTAGTGCAATAATGCTCAGGTGTCCCCTGATTTGCAAAGGGGTTCGCTTTGGTCTCTGAGTATGGTGTTATCCTTATAGTTTGGCTCTCGATCCTAACTTTCCAGCAGTTAGGATTTGGTTCAGTGGCGGGGTCAGGATTTGGTTCAAGTCTGTTTCTACTCCTGAACTGACACAATTTCTCTTTCCTGTTACTGGGCCGTTTTACTTGTCTCATTAAGCAGAAGAGGAATTAATCAAGAGTAGCTCTCTTTCTGATTTGAGAATATATCCCTAAAGAGATTTATGATTTTTTTTTTTAAATAATAATTTGCATTTTTTCTTTCTATTGTTGTTTGCTCATAGTTTTGTTTTGAGTATGTGGCTACGATACACGTAATTCCAATACATTTACCTTGACAGATAGATGTCTTCATATTTTTTCTTTTCACAATTTGGATGAACCTATTTTCTAGAATCAGATTTGTGAAACTAATACCTGTTGTAAAATTTGTTTTCTCAGAATGTTTTGCAATACTGGCTTGAAATTATATTTTGCCAAATATTCTTGCCAGTAAATTTATTTATTAAAGTAAAAAACATTTTCTCAATGGACAAAGTTGGACAAGAAAGAAAATACAGAAGGGACATGAGTTGAATTACTGTTTGAATAGGAATAAAAATAAGAGTTTATTTATGGGATTTTATTGCATTCCCCATTTCTAGAAATCAGACATCTGATGATGACCAGATGCATAGAGGAACTGCAGAGGTGAAGGGGAACATCGTCACCAGATTATTTGAAAATGACCATGTATAATTATCAAAACAAATTATTCATTGGTTTCCCAAAAATTTTACTGTCAAAATAAAACAAGTAATTAGTTCTAATTTAAAGATACCACTTTTCCTTTTTTTCTGATTTTGCAGTCTTCAGAGAAAAAGTGTTCTAAAGAGGTGGAAGATTTGTGAAAAGAATTTTTGGAACTTTTCAGATTAAAAAAATGCCAAAGAAACCACTTCATTTGATCAAAAGTAGATAATTACCCTGGGAGCAAGTTTTTAATATTTTTGTGCATTTCACTTAAAACCCCACACCTCTTGATAGCTAAATCACACTATGATTTAGCATTAGTGTTGTTTCTTAGAGCACTGTACACAGTTGGAAAAATAACAAATGTTTTAACATTTTTAGAATTTTTTGTTCTATATTTTGGAAAAAGTCAAGTTGAGTGAAAATATGCAGTGTTGACAAGTTTTACCGGGGTAAGTTTTACCCCGGTAAAAAAAAAAAAAAGAAAATTTGTAGTGCAAATTACATTTTTCTGCATTTTTGCCAGACTGAAATTTTAGAAAAAAATAACCAGTTCTACTGAGGATCTGATGTAAAAAGCTACAAGCATGTCTTCAAAACAGGGATGTAATGCAATGAGATTCCACGTCAGAGTAGATGCTTCAGTGTTTAGTGGCAGCATTGCAAGGTTCTTTAGTGTTTAATACCAAAAATGTCGAACGTGCAAAGGTGATTTTACTGTTCAAGACACTGCAACCAGCTTCTTCAAATGCAAATTTGTCTAAGATGCAGTGATAAAGGACAGCAACTGGCAAATAATAACATAAAGAAAGATATAACTAGAGGTATTTGGGAAGTATTTCCAATGACAACTTGTCATTAAAATTAGCCCTGCTGTGAAAGACTTTTTCTCCCTTTTTGCTATTTTACTAGCTTTGTGTGTTGCAGTGCAAATGTCAGGCATTCTTTCTCTTTGCTTGCAGGGTCAGCTTTTACAACATCTGATAACCTGTCCCTCAGTTCCTGGGTATCCTCCTCAACCAGTTTTCCTGGATTTCAGCATCCACAGTCTTTGAGTGCCCTGGGTACCAGCACTGCATCCATAGCTACACCCATTCCTCATCCAATCCAAGGATCTCTGCCTCCATACAGCCGCCTGGGAATGCCTCTTACACCCTCTGCTATAGCCAGCTCCATGCAAGGTAGTGGCCCCACTTTCCCTTCCTTCCACATGCCCAGGTACCATCATTATTTTCAGCAGGGTCCTTATGCAGCTATCCAGGGACTGCGTCACTCCTCCGCAGTGATGACGCCGTTTGTATGATTGATCTAAGACAAGAGAAACATGAGATTTTAAACATGCAAGTTTGGTATGAAAAATACAAGGGACCTTCCTGAAAGGCCTGTGGCAGGAGTGCTGAACTTGTAACCAACCAGCTAAGAAAATGCATTATGGATATAGATTCCTCCGTTGAGGGATCACAAGAAGCAAGCATGCAGCATGGAGCTGCTCACGGATCTATGTGTAACACGGCCGAAATGGATCCCAAAGCTCCCAGGATTTTTGGTCACGTGCAGCTTGTTCCAAAGGTGCATTATACCTAGCGGAAAGAGATTATGTTTATGCAGCAGTGTAAAAATTAATTGTGTATAGGTCTTTTTTCATACGCTAGAAGAATTCTGAAAAAGGCAATACTCTTACTCATCTTCATCTCTTCTTGTGACTGATGAGCATCTAAACAGTAAAAATGTATTGCTATAACTGAGCATGTTTTAGGCTATCTCAGCATACATTTGCTGGGAACAGGACAAAGTGGAGAAGGCCACCGTCCTTTTTAAAAGACTGGCTTATATTCACCAAAAGCGGTATTTCTTAGTTGCTACTATAATCCCAAAGAGAAAATTATTAACAAGTCTTTCTTTCTTTCTTTCTTTGTTTCTTTCACAAAACACTATCAGTTCCAAAAAAGAACTGTGTTACAGGACTGTAGCAGTAATGATGTATTCTGTCCTTCAGTCTAAAAAAAAAAAAAGTTTGTCCTATATCCTAGGAGGAGCAATTTAACCGTCTGTTAAGGTATGATGAAGGAAAATGTTGATTTGGGAAATTCTGTTACTTAAACTTATAAACCCAAGATATCAAATCAATACTTGTTTGCTGCTGCACTTGCCACTGAAGACCTGTTTCTAGCTGCAAATGTGTACCAAGGTAACCAAATTTCAGGCTAGATCAGTCTATAGACTCTCTAGCTCAAACTATAATCAATGGACTGGTGTAAGATGAGTGGCATTGAAGTATCCTTCTACTTGTTCTGATTTTCTTGGGTTTGGTCATGGCTGTTACTATACAAGCTGTTTGGCCAGGAAAATGAGGGTTGTACTGTCTGTTTTTCCATGTCCCAGTAGAATGGTGGAGTTTCCTTGGGAAAACATCAGTGCAGAACTTCACATGTAATTTTTTTTATTCATAGCTGCCTTTTTTGAGTTAGTAATTAGGGTTCTCATTCAAAGTTCTGTCTACTTTTTCTAGTATGTTATGGCTGATGCAACAGAGGAACTGTAGAGGTATAAGAAAAATTGACCTCTCTGCAGAGAGCTAGCATGAATCCTTTGCACTGCTGAAAAGAGTACCAGTGCGATGCTGGTTTTCTGCGTGGCGGGAGCTGGGATTTCACTGTAAATAAGAAGTCAACACAGAGTTTCTGTGTAGAGTTGCATCCAAGTTATAGATGATACATCTACTGATAAAAAAGAACTAGCAATCCAATCTCATATATTAAAGATCTGTGTAGAGCTGGAACACAGAATAGAAAACAGACATCTTTTGGCACTATTCTCCTCTACTTTTGACCAGTGTGTGTTGGTATCATATGGTAAGAAGTGGAGTGCAGTACACTGAGTCACCTATCTCCCATCTCAGTGACGTGCAAGGCAAGTCACGTGCCTTTTTTTTGTCCCATTGCCTCGTCTTAAATGCCCAATCACACGGAGCAATGACAACCTCCCAGATTTTTCCCAGTTTCTATTGTAGGCCAGTACTTGCATCCCACAGATAAGGGGCATCTTTATGTATTTCCCAGTAGTTGAATTTAAAATCTTGTCAAATTGGCCATTTCAATTACCTCAGTTATCTGCAGTATCATCCTAATTTCCCTTTACTCATTGTTGACCTGCTGGTAAAAAAATGACCTGAGGCAATTTGCAACTTTTGTGCTCTGTATGTGAATGAAAACAAACTGATTTACAGTTTCTGGGTTTAGAGCTACTACAAGGAGTTCCATAAATGCATATAATAAGCCGAGCTCTGCAGTATTTAAATGGTTTAAAATCAGACACTGAATTTGGCTTGATGTTTGCAAATACTAGATTTTTCTCCAGGCTATCAGATTCACCTGAACACTGCATGTTGCAAGGTTGTGCCTATTCATGACCTGTTTTGATATAAACTCCCTATTTTTCAGGAAATTAGATGATACTGGCCCCACAACAAAAAAACCTCTTCAAGTACATATGTGATTCCACAGAAACAAGAATTTCAGGGGAGATTTGGAAGAAAATTTTAATCCCTCTTCCTCAGTTGGTTGACTTCTGTAAGAGTTGTGTGAAGGTCCTATGACAACATGCACCAAAGCCTGTGGGGAAGTTCTATTTCTTTTATCCTTCCTTCTGCAGCTCCATTAACTCATCTGGAGTTGCAGGGGATACGGTTAGGTTCAGAATTCAAGCCAGTAGCTTTAATGCTGATACTTCCATCAGGAAATGGTCAAGTAAGTAGGCAGCTTTCACATGACTCCAGAAATAAGTTTGGAACAGGTAGACTGATTTAGGCATGCTTTACAAGTCACATAATGCCTGCTCATACATTGACCTGTCCTTCCTTCGTGAAGCAAATTCAGAGAAATAAACTGTACAATCTCTTTAGCCCTGTCCCAGTCCCAGTTCTGAAAACACCAATATTTGGCATGCAGAAATGCCCCTGATACTGCTTCAGAGAAAATTCTCCAGGCTCTTCCTGGAGAATTAAACTGGGTTTTGACAACATCATTTACAAAAATATTAAAGACAAGTGCTTTTCACTATGAATAAAATGTGATTCATATCTGAAAAAATATGGCAGTAGACTGTCTCTATATAAAAACATAAGCCCAACTCCTCATCCAAATTCTCTGTGATGAGTTTCATACTCTAGATGATGCAGAATTATCTGTTAAAAATCCACAGCTTGATTTTTCCAGTCAGATCAAGTCTTTCTCGGTGTGCTCATCCCTCCCCACACTGCCCTCTGGCATATGCTGCTCTCCGATGCTTTAATTCCTTTGCATCAGAAACCCACCGGGTTCCCCACTAATGCAGAATCATGGGCAGATCCCAAGCAAAGGAACGAAGGCAGCTTGCGACAGCTTTCCCCAGGAACGAGGTCAATAGGTATGTCCAGTTCTCAGCTCCTCTTCTTTGCTCTCACAATCCTACCTCCAAAACCTGTTGTGTAGAGTTGAGGTGGAAGGGATTAAGTTCACAGAGACCACAGGATGCCCAACAAAGAGGTCTTGCCACCTCGCAAGGTTTCTTCTCCCTGTCCCTCTAACTGTCCTGTGGGCAGGGGGCAGCACGAGAGTGGTTCCAGAGATAAAATTCCTGCCCTACTGAAGTCATCCACAAATTTCTTGACTGTAATGGAGATGGGATTTCATTCAACATTCTTACCTAAAAATAAAGTCTAACTGTAAGAACAGTGACTGTAGTGACAGCAACAATATAGGAACTCTACAGAAAAGACTAAAAACCAACTACAAATCAGCTTTAGCATTGATTTCACAATTGGAAGAAAATGAATGTAAATTTGTAATTAATTGGTTAAAGAGTGAAATAGTTTTTCCTAAAAAAATTATCTGTACTACTTTGACAATAACTCAGTAATTTGTTTAAGGAGTTGCTGTACTGCTGTCAAAATTATATCACTTTCAGGACAGAACATCTGTTGCTGGTAGATGGTCTAGGAATGCCAAATACAATCTAGAGTTTATTTTCCAATATAATTCACATTTCATATCCCATGAGAAGTGCTCTTCACCTTTATGAGCTCTCTTGGCCGAGCAAACTCGTGCTGGTTTATGTTGTTGGTTTTTTTTAAAAAGGGTGGAGAGAACATGCCTGAATATGCTTTTCAAAGAGAATGATAAGATTATCCTCCGAAGTGTTACAAGTACTTTTGGGTGTTTTCTGGATTACCCTTTTAGCCATAGATAGTCAACAGCCTCAGGTCTTTAATCCAACAAAAGCATCCCAAAGACTAACAAAACTGACTTAGATGCATTTGTCTGATTTTTTTTTTTCGTCTACTTTTGGAGCCCTGAGAGAAGCTAGACATAAAAAACATTTTAAATTTGGCTGTTTGGTTTGCAGTATTGCTTTATATGGCCTGAGGCACTGCCAAAGACAGAAATTCAATGCCACTGGTTTCAGCGGTACTCTTCTAAGTATCAACTGACAAACAAGCACAGACCAAGTGGATAAAGGTGCAGAGTTTCTAATGGAAATGTTTCTTCATGAGTTCAAAGATGGTATGTTGTATGGTACCTAACATACTTGGCAGTACAGTCTATGAAATGCAATAGCAAATTTTCTCCCAGAAGGCTTTATCCGTGGAAGCCGGGACACTGCATGAGCATGTACACGTAAGATGTTGCGGCTTCCAACATCCAGCAAACACTAACCAGCATTTGAAAAAGAACCTCTTTTAAACTGAAAATATTTTGGCTGGCAACTTGATTATGCACTACATCCTCTTTATGTGTGTGTACTACAGGGAAACAAAAATGTCAATGAAAATTATTGCAAAAACTTGGGGAGCTTTCCAAAACTGTAAGTTAATATAAATTGTGCTAATTTACCCCTAGATATGGGGTAAAAGCAACAGTGAGATCAGTGTAGCACTTTGGGTTCCTTATCTGGGAGAAAGCTGTGGCCACAGCGTTTATACTCATCATCTGCAGAGGGATGACATTCACTCGCTGCAAAATTATTTTTGGTTTTGGTGAGATCTTATTCTCACTGTTCCTTACAGAGTGTTTTCTGCTGCAGGAGATGTGGTTTCTTTACTAACCACTTACTTGCTGGCCAGAGGATTTATGTATTACTCTGTGATAAACTGCCCTTGCATATAGTCTCTAGCTTATCAAATGACAACTTCTTTTTCTTTATTTTATCTTTTTAAAAGAAAACTAAGCAGTGATTTAAGTAAATTCTGAAGTAACTTTTTATGATAGTTTAAGGACAAAAAATACAGTTTGCTGTATTTTACCTTTAGCACATTTAAACAGTCTTGTCTTTTTTTTTTTTTTTAATTGTACCTTCAGAAACATGAGGAAAGATTTGGTTTAAAAAAAAGGAAGGTAAAAAACTGGATGTAACCTCTTTAACAGAATGTACCACAGTTCTGCTGTTTGCTGTGTTGACTTTGTTGTTTATAATGCATTGCGTGAGCACATTCACCATGTACTGAAGTGTGTGTTTGTGTGTATGGGGTGGGGATAGGGGGAAATCTTTTTATGGAAAAAGAAGTTATGAACATAAACTATGAAGCAACATCTAATGAAAAGTTTCTTTTTAAGTGCAATATATTTATTTCTGCTAGAAATATAATATCAACATTATGTAATATTTGAAGCATTAAATGTTATTTGTAAACAGCTTAAAATTATATATATATATCACAAAAATTGTACAGAAGTGCAAATGTGTGGATATTCAGTTTCTTTCATTAAAATATTGGGTGTTTTGATATATCATTCTTATTTAGCCAAAGCTTTCTGCTTCTGTTGTTTTTCCTCTAACCAAGTCACTGAGTGCAGTGGAACCAATGACAGATCTTTCTGAGAGCGCACAAAATCCGGTAGGGCTTTTCATCTGCAAAAGGGGGTCTAAATCTTGGATCCATACGGAGTGATAGTTGTACTGCAGTTAAATACAATCGTAGTTTGCATATAGTTACACAAATGATT